AGTCTCTCCCCTCACCAGCTCTCCTGCGTCAGCACAGACCCAAACCTTTGCACCTCCTCATGTTACACGGATGTCGGGCACTTACAATACATTGGACGATGCTAAAACCCAACAGCTGACCGAAAAGGCGACCTCCGAAAACATTGCTCATGATGTAGCTGACTTCACAGACACCTCCTCAGTTTACTCACAAGACAGTGTCATCACCGTTGTCCACCATCCCGCGGCTGGGCATTGCCATACGCCCTTTGGCTTCATGTTGCAGGCGTGTGCTGCCGATGAGGATGGACAAGAGGGCCTGGCCCCGCCTCAACAGAAGAGCCTTTCTTCTGATGTCCCTCTTTCAAAGGCAGAAACCTTGCGCCCTTCGCCCGCTCTTCCACCGCTTGCATACATTCCCAGCACACTCTCTGCTCGCACTTACGCTTCAAGTGAGCAACTTCACGTCAATGACGATGGCCACCAATCTCAAGCGCCTTCCAGTATCGTCAGTACGGCGTCGACTCCAATCAATGGCTCTATTGTGGACCAACACAATCGCCGCTCTATCGACTCACATACAAGCAATGGCTCCCAGTCATGCACCTCCATTTCCACATCCGCCTCTCGTGGTTCCGAACCCTTAGTCTCTGCTCCCACCTCACGGTCTGGCCGCTTCACCACCAGGAAACATGTGCGTAGCTCTCGCCTCATGAGGCCTTTACCCAGGGTGCCTTCAAATCCTCTGTATCAAAAGAGCAACATCTCTCGACAGCCAGCCAAAGATTCGGCTGTCGAGAGCCCGTCACCATCCCGGGGCATTTTTCTCTCGAACACTTCGCCTTCTGTCAATTCTACCAGCCTCTCTCGCCAACATCGTCTGCCCAAGCGACCAGAATCGCCGCAGAACGACGCCGTCACCAAAGCAATCGAGTCTCTCAACACAAATCTTCCGTCTCTTCGGGTCCGCAGACGCAGACCCGTCAACGATCTTCCCTACATCCCGGTCTCTCACTGCTACCCGAAGCCGCTGAAAATCAGCGAGATGAAGTCTCCGAGTCCGGCAAGTACAACGCCTACCGGCGATCGCACCAGCTCGGGCGCCAGCACAGACACTGTCGTCCGTTCAGCTTCGACCCTCATCACGGATGTCAGCGCTGAAGTCGATCGCGAGTTGGAAGGGGTACTGTCGCCCCGAACCGCCGCCCTCGCCGCGCAATTGAAGGCTGCCGAAAAGAAAGACGATATCGGTACGCCCACGCGTCGTCCGACCCGACCGCTGCGTTTGCCCAAGCCGGTCCCGTGGTCGCCGCCCATCTACCCGCCGCCCAACAAACCGCTGCCCCCTGTTCCCCAGAAGAAGAAAGCCCAGTCGGATGCTCCCCGTCGCAAGTCCGTTGAGCCTGAATACGTCTCTGGACCGTCTTCCTCCCGCGCTTACGCCGCCCCTCACACGTCAATCACCACCCCTGCTCCAGCCGTCATCCAAGCACCGGCGCCCCCCGCCACTGTGTCCACGACCGACTTCTATGACCCCTACCCGCCGCCAAGAGTCATCTGGACCGACGGAGACGTCACCGTTTCCGACTTCTCAATTCCGAAGCGCACGGTTCGCCCTGCAGCCTCCATGGCAACCATGTCTCCGCGCCAGAGTGAGTACTAGTTCCGCAGACGACGATCAAGAAAGCTGACAACCCACACTTCTAGATGCTCTCACAGTCCCAGGCCAGGCTTGCCCCCCAGAGTCGACCGCGAGTCCCCAGAGAGGCGCGCCTGCTACCCCGTCCACCCTCACGCCCTCTCCATGCCGTCTATTAGGCAAGGTAGCCTCCATGACCGAGCTCAGGCAGCGGAGATTGACGGACCCCAGTGAGGACAACGGCAGCGACGAGGCGATCGGCCTGAAAACCTTCCTCTTAGAGAACGCCGCACCCGCTCCTGCGTCGGCCAGGGAGAGAACCGACAAGAGCGGCGTCAACGAGAAGCCTACCACCGAGGGCAGCAGGAAGAAGTTCTTCGGAAAACTTTTCCGCAGAAACAGGAAGGACTCGGAGAAGTGATGGACGGAAGCAAGGCGAGATACAAGTTGAAAGGATAGACGGAGAGATGGGGGGTGGGGTTCATGATTCTTGATACCAATGATGTAATGATATGATCCAGGTCGGAGCTGGCCTTGAGTGACATTGTGGCCTCACTCAATGCATGGCTGAATCGTGCCTTCAGTTCCCGACACCACGTTCTTCCGAGGGTATTTTCATTGGTTCCACCGTGAACATCAAATGAAAAACGGATATTTGTCATGATAGAGCTAGTCGCGGCGGATGTCGATGGTGATGCGGATGATGGGGATGTTCTTCTCGCACGCCGCTGCGAAGCTCCAGGAGACGCCAGCCAGCCCAGTCCCCATTCTGAGGGGGTGCATTGCGAGGAATTAGTTGATAAGGTCCATCACGGTGGTGGAGGATATGTGTCGTTTCTCAAAAAAGTCATGGTCAGCTGCGGCTTGAAAAAGGTGGCCAATGAGCCACAGGTGAAAGAATCGATATCCTTCAAATAAACACCTCATCTGAATTTGAATCAATGCTCTCCTAGGCACCTATATTTACTCGCGCACGGATGATAAAACCCTTGGGTTAGCAAGAGAACTCACGGGACTTATCCCATTCCTATCTGGACCATGCTGCTGGTTTTTTTTAGTCCGTGAAGCTCCGAACAAGGGGGTGAGGGGAGTGATGAAGTCACTCCGGGCCGGCAGGCCGGCCGGTGTGCGGGGCAGAAGATCCGGCCGCCACTCCCTCACCGCGAACACGAGTTCCGCGCAGCGATGACGGCAACGCCGAGGGGCTGGATAACCACTGCATTGTTGGCCTCGGATGAAGGAAAAAAATCTGTGGCACCATAAGCAAGGAATGTCCGATCCGGGATTTCCACCACTCGGACCGCGTGGGCTCCCTGGAACGCCATCCCTTGTGACGGCGGCAGCGGCTTGTGTCTGAACAGGTTTACGATTCCTGAGACAGGGCTCGACGAAAGAATGCTAGCTCTCGTACATGGACTCGGCTGGAGCGACTGATCGGCGGGCTCGAATCGCCGCAGTCGAAGATTGCTGCATGCCCGCGGCAAATGGGTTGGGGGAGCCCACGTCTCACTTTCACGTCTAGCCCCAATCCGACGAACCGAAACAGCTGTGTTCGCCGTCACCGGCAGCGCAAAGCCGGCGCCTTTCCTCCTCTCGCTTCCTCTGGGTATTTGGAGAGATGAAGCCGTGTTTATGGTAAGCCCGCCAGCATTCGCCAAGAGATGAGGTGAGGTGGGGGAGCTGAATGGCGTCCCCCTCCGCCTCCCCTTCGAGGCCTCTAGCTTTTTGGTCTCGATGCGAAAGGTAATCGCGGACAACAGTCGCCAGTCCGCGAGACGAATGCACATCTGTACATAAAAACGCATCCCGGCGTCCCTTCCGCATCCCGTTCCCTCCCCTTCCTTCCTCTCGCCTCGGCATGCTCGCTCTAGCCCCCTCACAATGAAGTTCTCACTCCCCGCCGTGCTGGCGCCGCTGGCCGTCCTCGCCCTCCCGGCCGAAGACCCCTTCTCCTCCTCCGCCTCCTCCTCCTCCCACTACTACACGCCCAGACAGTGCCCACCGAGCAGCGTCGACTGTCTCTTCAAGAGGTACGGCAAGCTCTACTTCGGCGCCGCGACCGACAACGGCATCCTCCAGCAGGGCCGCACGGCCGAGATCGTCGCGAGGAACTTTGGCCAGGTGACGCCCGAGTACTCGATGAAGTGGAACGAGACCGAGGCCGCCCCCGACGTCTTCAACTTTGACAACGCCGACTACCTCGTCAACTGGGCCGAGGCCTACGGCAACAAGGTGGTCCGCGGCCACACGCTCCTGTGGTGGCGCACGGTGCCCGACTGGGTGGCCGAGATCACGGACGCGGAGACCCTCACGGCGGTCATCGAGACGTACATCAAGACCGTGGTGGGACATTTCCAGGGCAAAGTCCGATCCTGGGTTCGTTTTCCCGCCCCCGTCGGTAGCGAGCTTTGGACACCCTATCCCATATTTCCCGGCTGACACCATGGTCCCCCCCCCCAAAATAGGACGTCGTCAACGAGCCCTTCAACGACGACGGCACCCTCCGGAGCACCGTCTTCTCGGACGTGCTGGGAGAGGAATACATCGGCATCGCCTTCCGCGCTGCGAGGGCCGCAGACCCTGACGCGAAGCTCTACATCAACGAGTACAACCTCGACGTGGCGTGGTGGGATAAGGTGACGGCCGTGGTCAACAAGGTGAACCAGTGGATCGAGGAGGGCATTCCCATCGACGGCATAGGTAAGTGGGGGGGCGAGGGAAGGGCTCCCAATTCAAGACAGACGAACTGGCTAACGAATGGTATTTGGGATGTACAGGTTCCCAGACGCACCTGGTGCCAGGCATGGCCGGGGACATCGAGGGCGCGCTGGAGACGCTCGCGTCCAGCAGCGTCTCCGAGGTCGCCATCACCGAGCTCGACATCGTCACCGCCCCGCCCGACGACTACGCCACCGTCGTGGCCGCGTGCCTCAACGTTCCCAAGTGCATAGGCATCACGGTCTGGGGCGTCAGCGACAAGGTGAGAAGATGCCCGCCCTTCTATGGATTCTTCAGTCATTTGTCGCCTTCATCGTGGTGGACTAGGACAAAGAAAAAGAAGAAAAAAAAAGAAAAAAAAGACCAACCCTCTCTGACCCGTGCTTCATGACAGGATTCTTGGCAGAGCGAAAACCAGCCGCTCTTGTTCGACGAGAACTACAAGCAGAAGCCGGCGTACAAAGCCATTGTTTCGATGCTGAAGAAGGGATTGCATCAACGGTGAAAGTGCTCTCGGTTCCTCGATGCCGCGCCACGGTGCTGTTCAGGCGCAAGGTAGAAGAGACATACCACAACACTATATGCAAAGTGCATGCAATCAGCACACAGGTTCGCAGCCAACTTCACGTTTCGGATCAAAAGCAGTCGCTCAGTACAAATTAATTTGTTAATCAATTAAATAATTCTCATTCCTCATGAACAATTCTTTTCTTAAGAATACAGAATGCCGCCCAACGCCACCGCAATGAAGGTTGTATGATACAAGTACTGGCCCAAGGGGCCATTGGTGCATGCCGTGTACGCATGCTGAATGTCACGTCTGCTGAATGATGCGACAGGGTTCGAAGAAGCTGTATCCAGATGGGCGAGGTGTTTAGACGGCGGTTTCAGCCTTCTCGGCCTCGCTGCCCGACTCGTGGGCCTTGCGGGACTCGCCGCGCCACTTGGCCGAGGTGATGGGGTTGACGTGCTGGACGTACATGGTGTCGATCTCCTCGAGGGTGCGGTCCTTGGACTCGATGACGAAGAAGAAGACGATGACGGCGAGGGCAGCACAGCATCCGGCGAAGACGAGGCCGTAGAGGTAGTCGATGGCATCGGTGATGTAACGAGTGAAGAAGGACATGAGGCTGGAACGTGTTAGTGGAAAATACGGTAGCAAGAGGAAGGAGTGATGCAACATACAAGTTCCAGAGCCAGTTGGAGGCGGTGGCGAGAGCCATGGCGGGAGCGCGGTAGCGGGCAGGGTACAGCTCGGCGACGACCGCCCAGACGAGGGGACCCCAAGTTGTGGCGAAGCCGGCGATGAACAAGCAGGAGAAGGTGACGAGGACGGCTCCGGCAGCGGGGGAGTTCTGGGGGTTGGACTGGTCGAGGGCGAAGTGGCCGACAAAGGCGTAGACGAAGAAGCACATCATCATCCACAGGGCACCGACGATGAGGGCGACGCGGCGTCCAGACTTCTTGACGACGACCAAGCCACCGAAGGTGCAGGCAACGTTGACGGAGCCGAGAATGAGCTGGGTGACGTAGCTGTCGCTGAGGCCAGTGGCGGAGAAGACGGTGGTGCCGAAGTAGAAGAAGAAGTTGGCGCCGGTCAGCTGCTGGCCGGCCTGGAGAACAACTCCGAGAAGGGTGCGGTAAAGCATGCGGGGGCCGGTGAAGATCTCCCAGATGCTGGTGTCGGCGCCAGCGCTCTCCTCGGCAACCTTGGCGCGAATGTCGTCGATCTGAGCGTTGACGGATCTGGAGTTTGGCTCGACGCCGGCAAGCTTGGCGATATTGCGGCGGGCCTCGTCCTCGCGACCTTGGCGGAAGGCGAAGCGAGGGGACTCGGGCAAGAAGAGGATTCCACCACCGAGAATAAGGGCCCAGGCGAAGCCGAGGCCGTTGGGGATGCGCCAGGAAGCAGAGCCGACCTTGTTGTGGGTGGCAAAGTTGACAACCTCGGCGAGCCAGATGCCGAGAGTGATGAAGAGCTGGTAGGTCGAGACAATGACACCGCGAACGATGGCCGGGGTAGACTCGGACTGGTACATGGGGACGACGACGGAGAGGGCACCGATACCGACACCATTAACGAGGCGGCCGATGGCGAACTGGTACCACTTGTCGGTGGAGGAAATCTCGATGACGATACCGATGCAAGAGAAGAAGGCGAAGAGCGAAATGGTCAGACGACGGCCGAGAGTGTCGGCAAGCTTACCAGAGGTAAGAGCGCCAACGAGGCAGCCGATGCAGAGAAGACCGACGATGGTACCCTGGCGAGCGGCGCTGAAGACGTAGGTGCCGTCCTGGGGTTCACCGAAGCGCTGCATAAAGTCCTCCATGAGGAAGAAACCGGAGATCTGACCACTAGAGGCGACGGAAGGTTAGCAAAAACGGACGTCGAATTTGAGGCGAAGCGCGAGCGAGCGAGACAGACGCGCGGGTGTCGGGTCGGAAGCACACAGCGGGAAGGGACGAGCAAGCGGCAAAGGTGCGTGTGAGACATACCTGACATATCCGAACATGAAACCACCGATACTGGCAACGAGACCGAGGAAGCAGGCGGCGAAGGTGACCTTCTGCTCGGTGACGGGGTCGACGGTGGAGGCGGAATCCGAGTGGGCGTCGGGATCAGGGCGGTCCTGATGCTCGACGCCCTTGCTTCCGGGCTTGGGGAACTGCATGTTGGGCAGCTGTTGACGATACGGTGGCGGGGGGTTATCTTTTGTTGTTTTTTGGGGGTGGGTAACAATCCCGAGGAGGATAGATAGGGTGATCGGCAGATGGATAAATGTGCTTCGTTGGGAGTTGGTAAGTTGTTGTTCTTCCTTGGTGGAGGAGGGGGAAGGGGGGGAGGAGAGAGATGGAAGTCGAAGGTAAGGAAGGAGGATGGAAGGAGGGATGGAAGGAGGGATGGAGGGATGGGGTGGGTGGTCGAGTTTAAAACCCTGATTAATGTGGGATAATGTGGGATGGGATGGAGGAAGGAGCAGGAGGGCAAACGGAAGGAGACGAAGTTTTCTTTATGTATTGAAGACGCAGAAGGCACGATGGGCAGGCGCGTGGTAGATCACGCGGGTGGAAACGACAAGATCGGTCAGGTCAGGCAACGCAACGGATGGGACGCTCTTTCCCCAGTCGGAAAGCGAGCAAGTATCCGTAGAGAAGGAAGCAAGCAAGAAGCAAGCAGGCCAACCAAGTTCTAGGCGACTTCCATTGTGGGTTGAAAGTGGAAAGACGCGACGGGTTCCTCACCCCGTCTCTCCTTTTCTTTCCCCGTATATCCCCGTTCGCCTCCGCGTGAACGAGTGTAATGTTCCCACAGTTGGCAGTCAGATGGATGGAAAAAAACTGGTTACCCTTTTTTTTTTTCTTTTTTTTCTTTCCCCATGTCCTCGTGATCATTCACACGTTTCTGGCCAAGCAGAAAAATGGGAAGAAGCCCCGCCGTCGAACCGCCCGCGCGCACAAAGACCGACCCGACCGACCCCAGCCCACACATCATCAAACGGACAAAGTCGGGGGCCCGTGGGAGACGCAGGACAAAGTGCGGGCGAAGCTTGCTGCTGTGCGGGACGCCTGCGGATGGGGAGAGATTGTGGGTGATGGGCTGGTTCTGGCCCAGATCCATAGGTCATGGGCGTGGGCGTGGGCGTGGGATAGGAAGAGTTCCGCCATTGCGGGATGGCGGTGACTTGTGTTTGGGTCGTGTCGATCGATGTGTGCGTGTGTGTGCCTCTCAGGGACAGGAAACCTTCTTGTGGACGTCGGCGACGACGATGGGCGGCGGGTGGAGGACCTCACGACGGGCCTGGCCATCGCTGTTTTTTCCGGGCCGCAGGGTGATTCCATCCGTCCAAGGTACATTGCACCGAGTGCCTCCGGACCGGGGGGGGGGGGGGGGGGGGGGGGCGTTGACTGACGTTGAACACCCATCACGATTTTTTCTTTTCCTTTTTTTTTTCGGTCCAATGCTCGGCCACTAAGAGGGGCCGGACTTAGGTTGAGGCTCCCGGGTGGGTGAAGTAAGTATTGGGCCATGGAACGTGAGAGAGGCCGAGAAGGACGGCCGGGGGACCACAATAATCTGAACACTTCGCTGCATCCGTCTTCACTCCTTGCTCTGGCCCCTGTTCGGATTCTTTTGCATCTACGTACATTACTGTATCCGTACATTGCCCGACTACCTTATTCGTACTTTAGGTATGTAGCCATGCACATACGATGTACGAACATGGGGAAAACATGACAGGCGACGGTGCACAAGTGGCCATCCAAGTCGGACCCTTAAGCTTAGTCATGGTTGTCGTGCCATCTGTGTGTATGATACCACCTAATAGGTAGGTCACGTGGTGTAGCATACTGGTACTAAACTTACGATTGCACATGCATGGGATGGTGGAGATCCCGAAGCCTCCGATTGACGTCAGGGTTTGAAATCCAGGTTATCAGCTCTGCCAACGTCCCGACCCCTGAGCCCGCCCCCACTCCAATTGGGGGGGTGTGCAAAGAGCAGAGCAGTGGTTTTTTTTGTTTTTTTTTATAAAAATACAGGTTCGATAACAAAAATGCAAATTCAAGAATGCCACCACTTGCGGTAGAGAGTCAGGTCCCCTATGGCTCGACGCATTTTCCATTCTTTAGGGGTGTTCACCATCCGTGTCCTTCTAGAAAAGATTTGCTCGCCCACACCCAGTTCCGCACGACATATACACACGTCGCAGCCGTCGTATATCGAGATGGAAATCGCATTGATGACAAGGTGGGAAAAAGAGGCAAGCAGGATTGATGTGATTGTGCAGCATGGGAAAGTCAGCCGCGTCCGGAAACTAACCGACGGAGGGGGGCAATCCGGCTGTAAGCGCGAGGCGGCGCACCGCTAAGAGACGCGAGAGAAGGCATTGGAAAGCGGGAAGGGCAGAAGAAAAAATTCAACTCAATAAAGGGACCCCCAAGGTATGATTCCGCCTCGCATCTCCACCGCAAGGCCGGCATCTGCCCGTCCATGTCATGCATGCCATGCCACATCTGCCATGGCACCCGATCACCCGTTCGTTCTAGTGCTTGGCGTTGCGCCTCGGCCGTCTGCACTATCTAGGTATCTAGCGTCTGCCCATCTTGTTCCTCTTCTCGTCACGATGGCTTCATCGTCGCTTCGCGGGTGCGGGCCGGCTTCTCTATCGCCCCATTGTGCAACGACGACGGCGATGCCGCTGCTTATATGTATGTTCATCAGATCGTCAGACTCATCCTGCATGCATGCGATGGCAACGTCTGCATTCCTAGGCCAGCTTGCCAAGGTCCGAATATAGAGTAGCCCCTGTCCCCTGTCTACCCTGCATCGTCTTGTTTTCCATCTTGAATGTACGGTACAGTACTTTGCGAATGCCCTATCGACATGCGTCGACTGAAGTAGTGGTGCACACTCCGTACATAGGTACGGATACACTGATTCGTAGCATTCCCTTGTTATCTCACTCCCCCTGTCCCTGCAGAAGACCCTTGCTTCCCTGCCTGCCTTTTCGGCCCGGCACTCGCATGCCGTACCCAACCAGCTAGCGAGCCGGAGACAAGCGTGGCTTGATATCACATCCCTTCTAGTTCCCGCTTTCCCTTCTCGCTCCATCGGATCAGGACAAAGACGAGGGGGGGGGGGGGGGGTGGAAAGGGAAGAGGCTGAAAAACTTGGCCAAGCAACACGGAAACAACATCGCGACTGCGGCTCAAGCTTTTGTGTCGTCGCAGTTATCGAGCATCGAGCTTCGTGCCAAGGTGACAACGTACCAACAACCTACTACATGTACGGATAGTACACCATTGCATTGACCTGCGACCTCCACCCATCCTACAAGTACTTCAACGGACCCGCGACACCGACCGCGCCTGCCTCGCCGGCCCCTCCCCTCCTCATGCGAGTCCAGAAAAAGACCGAGACTCGGCCACCAGGACCCATCGCCAACTTTCCCCCCTGAGAGGAGGAGAGGAGGAGGCAGAGGAAGAATAGGGCCGACAAGACGAGCAACTCGCCGACACGAGGGAGGCCATACCTTGACGAAAGAGCTCAATGAGAAGAAGTGGGAATGGGGAGGAGCCCGCTGGAGGACCCTCTCTCTCTCCCTTCCCTCCAGCGTGCGCGTGAGGAGAAGGAGGGCCTGCGAGATGAAGGTGACGATAGTCATCTCCCTAGCGGTGGATTTGGCCGAGATCGAGAACCCCCACCTCGAACCAGTTCTGAGCCGTGACCCAAAACAAGCCTCGCATCAGCCCCGAGTGTGTGTGTGTGTGTGTGGCTGGCTATCCCGTGGCTTGCTATCCCGTGGCTTGCTATCCCGTGGCTTGCTATCCCGTGGCTTGCTCATACCCCCTTCCGTTCAGCCAAAAAAAAAAAAAAAAAAAAAAAAAAACCTGTCTTCACCACCACTGTTAACCATCGGCCGATGATGCATCAGATCAGGAACCAAGACGAGAGCAGCACAAACAAACCGCAGGGGGGGGGGGGACAGCATGCGATTCCTGGACTCGAGCCCATCGCGCAAATTCTCGGCCGTGCATCTCGAGTGAGGGTCCGGGCACCGCAAGTTCGCCTCACCTGTACGGATACCATACGAACACGCTATGGTCACTGCGAGTATATCTGCACGCCCCCTCCCCCCCCCCCCTTTTGAAAAGACCGGGTCCCCTATTTCCCATCCCAAAGGGCCCGAAGTGCGGCCACGGCCACGCCGCGAGCGGACGAGCGGAGCTCCACCGAAATCCCTCCGGCCCGCTTTTGCGCGTGCGTGCCCCGGTGGACTGATCGGGTGCTTTCCGTAGTTTTCGCTCTTTCTCGCTCGCTCTCTCTCTCTTTGTCTCAGTCTCTCTTGACAATTTCTGTTCCGCGTTTCTTCCCCCCCCACTACGCGCTTTGCGCATCAGACATGCCTCTCTCACACTCTACACGTCCATGTAAATGGATCAACTCACCTCTAGCACAGCGGCCACCGAACCTCACACCCCATTCCATGCATGCCCGCTGATGCGCATCTACCTACACGTGTCCCAGGGTCCGCTGATATAACCCCCCCCCCCCTTCCCCGACAACGACGTGTCGCCCGTCCAGTGACGCCACGCTCTCACAGACGTCGCTTCGTCTGCCCCACGGGCAAAACGAAGCCATCACCGCACCAGATTCCGCGATCCCCATGATCTAACGTCTTCCTCCTACTCGAGGCTCCTCTCCTGTTCCCCAGGATGGCCCGGCCTATGCCCACCGACGGGGTCCTCTCGGTCCTCCGCGGATGACGTCGGTCCTGGACCAACTCTCCCACGACACCGGGTCCGACAAGCGTCGTTAGCGTGCTTCCCTTCCGCATTTATTCCCCAGGCTCTATCTATCCCTCCTCATTTTGCAACGCGTTTCTCATCCTCTTCTGGGTCCTCCCAAGAAAAGAAAAAGCCCGTCATCCCCCCATTCTTTCCGCGCCAAAAGCTCCGAGCTTCCCCCCCCCCCCAATTATGCGCTTCCTCGCTCTTTCTCATAAACTGGAGGCACGGTGACGGTGGAACGGCGCAAGAACTCTTCATGTAACAGCCCTACGGCGGCCACGGCGGTAAAAAAACGGAGCATGTTTGCGACAGCCATCGGAGATAAACCACCAATCCCCCCCCTCTTCCAATGACCGATGCGTGATTCGTTCTCGGCGGCTTATGACGACACACCACCCTTCAGGGTAAAAAAAAAAAAAAAAAAAACTTCATTATGGCCACCGGCCAACGAGTCATGATCAGTGACGTAAACATTCATCAATATTCACCACAGATGGCATGCATGCAACAGCGGAACCAAGCTAGCAAGCGGAAAACTCTTTCGTGACGATGCTATTATTCATGCCGCCCAAGAAAAAAAAAAAAGGGGGGGGGGGGGGAAGGAAAACATAGGCCACAGCCTACCAATGGAGTCGCAAACGACTTGTTGTACAAACTGCGCTATGATACGATACATGGAACGAATATTCCGTGACGGCATGCCAAGTTCCCACGTGGCCCGCCCTGCCCCGAAAATCCGGTGATCCCGTCCTCCGTGCGGTCCGCCGAACGCCGGGCGGCCGAAGAATACCTAGGTAGCAGCATCCCAACAAAAGATGCGAGGCCCGGCACTCGGTGCCCTCATTCATTCCCCCGCTACGGCTGACCGATGCTTCACTTTCCCTCACGTCTGTTGCGTATCTTCAAAAACTTCAGCCCGCGCTGCTTGGTGGTCCGCAGTGTCCCGGCAGCCTTCTAAGCTGGTGACTCTGCCACTTCCCTGTTCATGCGTCGGCGCTTCGCCTCACGCGGCTTCGCGGCCGGTGTAGACGCCGCCGTGTCAATCTCCCCCTGAGCAGTGTGTCCGTTGGTGCTTTCCGTTGGCTCAATCGCCTCGCCCGGCAGCACGCTTGCTCCCGTCTTCCTGGCCCAGTTCCCCTGAGATAGTTTAAACATGTTGCGCTTGCGCGTCACCGCCTGCGTCGAGGGCGGCACGTGAATCGGTGGCATGTCTTCGTCCACATCGCTGTTTTGCACCGACTCTGGCTGAAGCGATGCCGTGGATCGAAGTCGGCTGCCCGAAGAGATCCGTCGCCTGGCTGATTCCTTCTTCTCCTTGAGACGGTCCGGTATATCCTCCGCCGCTGAGTACTGGGAGGCCATGGGTTCAGGCGAACCACCATCTTCCTCGATGGAACGCTGCCGTGCCGACTTGCCGCCGGAAAGCCTGATCCGCTTCTTAGCCGGGCTAGGCTTGACGCCTCCAGTCTCGGTCGGTGCCAGCCTAAACTTGTCTTGGGATGCCGCGGGTGGCAACGACGGAGATGTGCGAGGAGAACCCTCCGGTGAGCAGACCACGAACGGGGTAGTTCGCTGCGACGCCGCCGCCGCCGAGGAAGGCTGCTGTTGAGCAGAAGGAGAATCGAGGCCCGTCAGTCGGGTCTCCTCGTCGTCCGAGTCGTCAGAATCAACCACCATCTCCTCGCTGAGGTTCTTGGGTTTGTTGGCTCGTCGACCGACCGTCCTCTTCGGAGGGTCAACAACCATCGATTCATCCTCCGCATCGCCATCCGCGTGTCCACCATCGAGGAACCGGGCGTCTCGTGGGTTGTTGGCCTCGGCATCCTCAAGCAGCCAGCGGGCGCAGTCTCTAACCGTCTTCCCCTCGTAGCCTGGAACCTGTTGCTTCAGGCGATGCCACAGCAGCTTGAGCGTTGGCCTGGGCCATTTTCGGCGAAACGACACGTCGACAAGCTTCGACCATCTGATGGCTTTGTCGCGGCCGGCCGCTCCAGCTAGAATCGCGCTGACTAGTTCGTACTTGGCCTCGGGTGGCATTTCCTGGATCTGCTTGCGAGCCTTCTCCAATGCCCAGGTGACCCTCGAGGCGGCTTGTGAAGACTGCAAAACATCTCGAGGGCCCACTTCCACGTTGAGCTTCTTGAACTTTCTCATACACTGAAGACGACTGCGCCTGTGGCCCATCAGTTCGCTGATAGACTGCCAGTTGATCAGCGATAGAGGCTCCTTGTCTCGGTTGCCGGGGATCCTCTGAATCCGTCGTAGCGAGGTAACGACATGCTCGACCAGCTCCCGCTCCTCTTCCTCGGTCCACTTCTGCCAGCGTTCGATACCGCCGCAAATAACGTAGTTTCGATAACGGTCTCGGACATCGTTGGGGTGACGGTTCATCTCTCCGGCAATCTTGACCCAAGAGCCGTTGTACTTGGTGTGAAGCTCCTCCAGCCTAGCATCCTCTTGATCATTCCATCCTCCTCCTCGAGCTGCGAAGTTGTGGAATTCTTGACGGGCGACGTCGATGACCTTCTGACGGCGCCTGTTTGGAAGAGCAGCGCAGATTTCGGCCCACATGGCCAGAAACCGCTCGTTGTCGTGTTCGACACCTTGGTGGCTTTGCTCTCGACCCCTCCTGTAGCTCTTCATTTGAATGAGGTCGTTCACCTCTTTTTGCGACAAACCGTGATCGTCGCGGTATTTCTCGACGGCCTGCGTAAGCGTCCGCATCTCGTCGATCGAGAACTGGCCCGTAACAAATTGGCCTGCAGCTTGGCGAGATGCAGCTTCTAGAGAAGCCGCCTTCTTGCTAGCCTTTGTCTTCGTTGTAGCTGTGTTGGCTGCTGTCGATGCGCGAGACGACGCCAACTTTTGCGTCTTCTTCTTCTGCTTCTTCGGAGGCTCGGCTACCTCGGTAGATGGGGGCTCAGTCAAAGCAGCCACGTTTTTCTCGGTATTACGTGTGTCAACAGTCTCTCGGTTGCCTGTGTCATCTTGGTCCTTTCCAGCATCCTTGTCCTGGGGCGGGTTCTCGAAGAAGTCTGGCTTCGAACGCTGGCGCTTGGACGCTGTAGATCGACTGGACTTTTGGGCTGAACTGAGCAGGTTGCCGGTTTCAGAGATATCTGCACCAGCCTCGACGGCCCGACGACGAGTAGTTTTTTGCGGCGTGGCGCTGACTTTCTGGTTACCGGCATTCTTGCCGTTGAGATCGTTCCAAGTATCACGGAAGGTCCTGATGGGCAACTGAGGCTCTTCGTCCGAGCTTGGCGTGTCCTCTCTGGGTGGCTGAGAAGATGGCGGGAGATTATCGGCAAGGGATCCAGCGTCGGATTCTAACGCACTCTCTCCGTGTTCACGTGGGGCCTCGTCGGAAGACTCAGCCACCTGCGAACTTGGAGCGGACTGCGACGCGGCTTCTCGAGCAAGATTTTGCCTCAGGACAGAAATCTGGGATCCCCGTGACATGCTCCTCCGTCTCTGCGCAGCAACGCTCGGGGACGACATGGAGACGGGGTTATCGTCGTCGCTTGCATCAAGAGCGGGTGTGCCGGAGGGTTTGCTGAATAGCTGTCTCGAGACTCCTAGGAGCTGCGATCGCTGGGGCTCGGACTTCAAGGTCGAGTCTGGGGCAGGGTCGGGTTGGTAGGCAGGACTTTGAACCTTCATGCCGTTTGCGACGGGCTGAACGGGTGATTCGGGCACGCTCTCTTCAGGCTGCGAGTCCATGTCGACGTCTTGGATGTCCTCGAGGGCGGCACGTCTCTTTTTCTTCTTTTGGCGAGTAGGGTCTTGGCCCTCGCTCGAGTCATTTTCGTTCCGCGCTTTGCGCTTACGCTTCTTCTGCTGTTGGGCCACGGCATCCTGTTCATCGTGGGCTTCGCCGTCGATCACCATTGCTTCTTCGGCAGCAGAATGGCTCGTGGGGCCGCTTGTGATAGGGGTTGGGAGGGGCAGTCCGGGTTGATCCAAGTCGGAGGACTTTCTCTTGCTCTTTCCCTTCTTCGTACGAGTCTTTTTCTCGTCGGACTTCTTCCCCTTCTTGGCCTTCTTTTTTTTTACGGAGGCATCGTCACTCGATGCGTAGGTGGGCGCAGTGACGTCTTCGTCAAGCACTGCCTGTGTGGAGAAGGGCTGCATGGAGGCGAAGGGGTCTACGTAGTCGTCGGTGATGCCATCGGGAACCTCGTCATCGAAAGCTTCGTCGTTGTCGGAGCCGTTGGGCAAATTCAAGGCGGTATCTCGGTCCCAATCTTGCGACGCCATTCTTGCTAACTGACGATCGTCGATACCATCGGGGTACTCGGCAGGCGCGGTGGAAGGAAAAGTTCTGTCGATGGATTCTTCAACGTCTGGTCTTTGTGGACCAGGAGACGAGTGCTTGGATGGCGTATGTCCGGTGAATATCCTCGAGATAGAGCTGAACATGGTTGAGTGAGGCAGAAGGAGGCTGACGACGGCTAGATGTCGACGTCGCAGAAACAGTCGTGGCGTGAGGAGAGGAGGCGAGGTCGTTCAGAGGTAGGTAGAGAGGTAGTACCTAGGTAAGATAGGTAGCTTGGTCTGCCGATGAGCCCGTCCAATCGCAATTGAAGGGAGATACAGTACGTTGGGTAGGTCGGCGGCGGAGGTGAAGCGATCACGACGCGGTCGGGGAAACGTTTTTCTCCCCTTGGAAGAAGCGAGCGTCGAAAGTGCGGGCCGTTGAAAAATCGCGGGTGTAAAATTGCTTCGGCAGGCGGGGGGGGCCACAGTGTTCCTGACTGCCACTACCGCATTTTGAGTTTAGCAACTATGGGGGAGCCAAGAAGCTTGGGCCTCTGCCGGTACCTACCTGCCCTTCTGACTAGGTAAGCACCTACTTTAGGTATCTTAGGTAAGCGAGGAAAGTCTACAGGGACCCCAAGTCGCGTCACTAGGTAGATATCTACCTACCTACAGCGCGTCGCGTTTGGACACGTTACCGGTAGGCAGCTGAAACATACTGCTGCAAAACTGTGACTGCCTCGCATTAGCTAAGCATTAGTCCTCTCGTCTACACACCCACCTCCCTACCTAGGTAATTGCTGCGTACGTCACTTTCTTTTTCCCCGCGTACACCATAATATATTCTCCGCAGTAGCCAATCAAGGAGTCACGAGCAACACGGTGTGATTATTTCCACAGAAGACCTTGGGTCCATCACGAAAGGTCCTTGCTCGTTGCTGACCCATCCCAAGAGCCTGTTCCGGCCCCAATTTCCATGCCATTGGAGCGAGGCGGGGTGATCAGGACTTGAACCCGCTGGCTTCCTTGGAGTGTCTGTTCCAGCATTAGATGAGCGTCTTCTGCTCACGCCCTTGCGGAAATATAAGGGAAGATAGTCTCTCACCATGATCATAATAACATCGTCATAACGTAACATTTTTCTGCGATTTCAACAACAACGTCTCTTTCTTTGTTCCTTTCTTTTTTGGTTTTTGCAGACTGTACTGGAAGACGACTTTTGTCTCCTAAAACCGGTCTAGAAATCGATTAAACAAGATTCTGGCGCCAACAAGTCGAGGCAACACAGCAACCTCTCGTATGCTCGTAGTGGGCCACTGAACGCCGTCTAGCGACATGAATGAAACTGATGGAGCGATAGTTGTTGACGCCGGGGTCACAAACATCTGCACTAGTTACGTGACATTGGAGTGAATCATAACGCGAGACAGTCTGATCACCGTTGTCAGAGGGTGCAATCGTACACAGTAGAGAGTTAACGTATTAGGAGAAATTAGGGTTGATGTCAATGGTGACTGTCATTCTAGGATGCCTTCTTCCTTTTCCATAGAGCCCTTTCGATGGATACAACTTTGTGTGCCTTTTGGCCCGAGGTAAACCCGCTCCGACGCTACCACCGGTCCTCTGAATGACTGAGGTATAAATACAAGGCGGTTAATGGCCGCAATAACACAACAGTAAAAGTACCATGCTTTACACTAAACACAATACATATCCGAGATAACGACTTGCAGTGGCAGCTTAAATGGCCCCACTATAGGCACGACCATTCGCTTATTTCTCGCCAGGAACTCCTTGTACTTGGCGACGAGGAGACGTTGGATTAATTTGAGTCGACATGTGTGCAGCCTTAGAGAAATTGGTTCATTACGACATCGGTAGCAGGGCTGCTTGCTCCGATGGTCTGCCGTCGCCCGTTCGTACTATGAAGACTGATGGTTGTGATCCGTCAACGCAGTTGTAAGAGATAACGGTGCATGGCGTGGGATCAGATGTCGTTACACGAATGCTCATGAATTGCCGGCGAGATCCTGATTTATCAAGGCTGGTACGTTGTTCTACCTATACGACCCAGTGTCGTGCGGATCTTGATCAACACATTCACTTTGCGAAACGGCCTACGAAGTACTGTCCTTCCTCATCGACCTTGCATGGTTAGCCATACATTAGACGGCGAAATCGGAGGTTTTTACACAGTCTCATCATGGATTACGTTACAATCTATTGACAGGGTTTGTGTAAGCTATATAAACATATAGCTGCAAAAGGGGTATCGACTTCATCAAGTGACTTCGCCTTCAAGAGGGTAGCGATAGGTATAACGACAGAAGCCAGAGTAATTACCCGGCCATTTCTCGGTATGTGATCTCTATTGCAGCAATCATAGATCAGATCCCTCAACCTCGACGCACACATAGGCCTGATTTGTAGATGTACAGCTACGAGTCAACCACGGTCAGGCGCCCCGCTATTTTCGGCTCTGGCCGAGCACCGCTCGCTGCTAGGGCATGGGGTGTTAGTCGGTTCGACCAATGACATCAAGCAGTATTTTAAGAACATGGGACATGGGACTAACACGTAGGCTTCAAGGATAGTAAACTGGTACATTAGTAATAGATTGGAGAAGACGGACTGCGGTAGGTTGGTCTCGCGCCCATCTCAAGAGCCTAACTACTGTCAGCGGGCTCGAGTCTGCCTCGAGATCTTCATGCCCTACAATCACCGACGCCGTACCTCTCAATTGCAAAAACCACCTTGTGCAGAGCAACTAAGCTCTGGTCGTCTTCGTGATAACTTTGCACAGTATGTAAGCCTCAGCCTCAGCCTCAGCCTCAGCACAGGCTTTCCCCCTTTCCTCGTTCTCAGGGGGTTGACTCGGCCACCTCAACCACAGACCCGCGTCGTCCACTTTGATGGTGACAGGAGTCCACATTTACGTATCACCGCCTAGAATCCGGGGCAGGGCTCGATACCCTTGTAAGGCGTCCCCGCCGTGCAAGCGTTGTAGTTGACAGCGAGCAGCTCGTTGACATTCGATGGGCCCTTGGCCAGTGGAATGTACTGGTAACACAACTGTCAGCATCATAATCTCATTGCCTCTGGGGGTTTCGTGTGCGAGCTTACGGCAGTAAAGGGCTTCGTGACACCGTCGGTAGTGTTCCAGAATGTCGTAGGGCAGTGGTCCGGGGCCGATTTTTGGCAAGGGTACTGCGTGTCGTACTTGTTCTTGCTGCCGCAACGGTAGAGGGTCTCGGTGCCGTTGACCTCGAGAACGTAGGAAGAGGCCGTGATACCGCAACGGACGTTGGCCGGGCACGCGATGCCGACGGTCAAGGAGCTACCCCTGGCAGTTGTTTGTCCGTAGGAAGTCGAGACACCGAGGGTTACAATACCAGTCCTATTGCTTCGAGTTAGATCTGAAAAGAAACGGAAAAGGAAAAAAAAAGGACTGTTTGTACGGAATGGGAGTCTGGAAGTCCTCGACCGCTTGGAGTCGCGCTTTTGGTTCTAGATATCATGTAACAAGGAATCAACAGGGGACTTACAAGCCACTGGAACCAGTGATACTGCCAGTGATACTCCACGACTCGGTGTAGCTGTAACCGGCTGCGATGGTGCCAGTGGTTGCGGAAGGGCCAACAAAAACGCCGGCGACGAGTTGCGGGTCAGTCCAGATGGGTCTAACGCTTGTGATCACACGCTTAAGAGGCCAAGAGCAGTAACGACCATCAGCAGAGACGCCGGAAGCCAGGAAAAGCAGAGAGGAGAGGACGGCGGAAGTCTTCATCGCGACGTGTTGTCCTTACGATCGAGAGATTATGGACAAGTGTCTTGGAATTAAAGAATGTGACGCGCACTGGAATGCGGTCGGGCAAGAGAAAACAAGGGCCGAAACGATTGTGGGAGGCGATGAAGACTGAGGTGATCTCAAAAGAGGATGTACCAGATGATGTGGACGGCGACCGTTCTTTTAAACGATGCTATGCAACCGCACGTGTCCCGGCTATTGAGCTTAAGGCAAAGACATGGACCCTGGCACTCAGATTCTAGTAGCAATGCGGGCCCACGGATCATGTGTTCTAGAGATCCCCCAGGATAAAGGAGATGGTTCATGACATGACATGCTGCGGGAAAGTGCCGACATGATGGTTACGCATGCACTGTTTTCAGAAAATCCCCGGCTATATTACCGATTGGGGTGGCCGAAGGCGGGGGATGGAAGATTGGCAGATGTCCGACACATGGCGAAGCTCAGATCCGCATATTCGTTGCCTCGGCCAGCCGCCGTGCATGAGTCGCCGGGAGGGCTTTGCTGCGGTCGATATATCGGGCGGCTAATTACCCAAACAGAGCCGTTTCCGTGATCAGCCCGCGCAGCCCCGCCGGGATCCATGGTTGTGAGTGCATTATATATACTACCTGTACGTAAGCAGGGCATTAAGCACCCTGGGGCTACCCTGCTTGTTCACCACACCAGCCAGCAGTGCTCGGCGTGTGTTCGTCCCGACTCTCTCGGATGCCAGGAAGCGGTCCCAGCGTTGATTTCACTGCCTTTGATGGCCAAGAGCTGTCCAAACCTATCAACAGCTCAAAAAAGAGAAAGAGAAGAAAAAGTTCGACAAGACTGCTTCATTGAAAGGGCATAGGTGTTAGATGAGAGTTAAGTACCTAGTGAAGTGTTTTCCCGGGGCATTAGGGTGTCGGTTTTGCGTCTGATCTAAGATAAACCAGACGAGAATTAGCAGTTCAACAAGATGTGCCCCGTGTGTAAGTGGGCAATAAGTGTTGGTCCTGAATGCATATATCCGTACTCCGTAACATATATCGGAAGCGAGGTTGCCCCGGCACGCCCGTATAATGACATGACTCTTGTATCTGGGGCCCCTTGCCCAACCCCGGAAACGGCTATGCCCCAAGGAATAGCCAAACAAAGGAGGCACAGGTTCGATATATAAGTCATGGTGCATCTTCGCCGTGATGAAAGCCCTGATGCCGCTGTCTGCAGCACACTGACATTGGCCCATCACTCTCGTTTACCATCCATCTGAATAATCACCCAGTCACTCACTTGACGGTCTCAACCCAAATTTCACTCCTTTCCATTAACGCAAACCCTCTTGAAGAAGCTCGCCATGCATCTTTCTACTTCACTTTTCGCCACCGTCCTCGCCTTTGCGGCGTTCGACCAGGCGGCTGCCATTGTAAGACCTAGGATAGAAGAAACGCGGGGTATACAAGTGTCACGAGATGATTCAGACACCGACTTGGTATCTGGCTAGTGCCTAAGTACACCCGAAAAAACATCGCTAACCATCATGAAACCGAACAGTGCCACTGGGACTCCTGCTGCTACACCAACCACAATGGCCCTGGATCTTGCCCGGTACGTCTTGTCCAATTCAGTTGGAATTGGGAGCCATCGGTATGCTAACATGAACGAACAACAGCCGCAACTCTGGAAGGTCACCTTGACCGCATCGTACTGCGCAGTATCGATTTGCCCTATTCCGTGCACCAACGCCACGGTGAGTTTCCAGTCTCCAAGGTCATGCGCAGTTAGCAATACGATAGGTTCTAACATGTAACTCAGGATGGCTCCGCCTGCGATTGCTGTGACATTGCGACCGGAAACTGCAGGAAGTGCTAGATGGGAGCAAAGACGAGCTTGTTTGTTTGTTTAACCGCGCTTATTTGGGGATAATGGGGGCAAAGCACTTGATTGGGCTGACCAGGAATGGTAGATGGATACCAAACAATTGAAAGTGGCCAGAGGATAGTGTGCCCGGAAGAGTGTTTAGAGAAGACTATTATTACGGCCGCTTTTTTGATGACAAAAATCTTATCAGAATCACATCGGATCCTCGTGATTTGAGCGGTTTTGCGTGTTTCGGCAACCCGCTGGTATCCTTGTTTCTCTCCGTTCCTCGGCTGACTGTGCGTTTATATCTACCCGTACCTGGATTCTTCTATACAGATACCAACAGAAACTCGCCTTTCGCCAGGAACGATGTCGAGGAAGCTGAGGTGGCCACAAGCGCAATGGAGCACGCACATGCATGAGAAAGGTGAAACAGGGCCCAGATCACATCGGCAAAGCTCTTTCAAGAGAACTCTGCCTCGTCAACGTTTCTTACGAAGATGGTGTACCACTTGACGAGGTTGATGTGCCCCTTGACGCTCGTCCTCTCGTCGACCGTGTGGATGCCCGACCACTCGTCGCTCTCCGCGTCGTAGCCGGGCGCGAAGCGGAAGATGTGCTTGGTCAGGTCCCAGTAGTACCGCGTGTCGGTGTTGCCCGTCATCAGGCCCGGTGAGACGACGAGGTCCTCTCCGTACAGCGCGCGCGTGGTGCCGGCGAGAATGCCGTACGGGGTGACGCCGTCGACCTCGGTTGGCGTGATGGGCGCGGGCTCCAATAGCTTGTCGTTGCCGCTGAGAGTGATGCTGGACGGCGTCTCGGCCTTGCCGTCCTCCTCGAAGGCGTGCAGGGTGAGGTTGTACTTGTCCGCGATGGGGCGCACGATCGCGGCGAGCCTCTCCTTGACGCTGGCCGTCTTGTCGCCGACGTTGACGCGGTGGTTCACCACGGCACGGACCCGCTCGGGCAGCGCGTTGATCTTGACGCCGCCCTCGATGATGTCGGTCGCCAGCGAGGTCGTGAAGAGGTACTTGATCTGGGGCCCGGCCTTGGCGGCCTCCCTCGCCAGACGGTCCGTCTTCTTCTTGCACACCTGCTTGTCGTTGGCGGCGGGGAGCAGGTTGCGCAGGTTGTCGGGGAACTCTGGCGCGTAGGCGGCGCCACACTGCAGCTTCTCGAGGTACGGGTTTCCAGGGATCAGCTCGGGCTCGTAGGGGTTCGCCTCGATGTGGGTGATGATCTCCGACAGGATGCCGATGCCCGTGTGCGCGGGCGGGATGGAGCTGTGGCCACCAGGGGTGCGGACGATGATCTCGACGTCGATGTAGCCCTTCTCAGCCGTGCCGGGGACGGCGAAGTCCTTGCCCCACTGGCTGTCAAAGCCGGCGCCCTCGTCGACGATGACAGCGGCACCGTCCTTGCCGTAGCGGTCCACCAGGAAGGAGGCGAGGTGGCCGGCGCCACGCTCACCCGAGACCTCCTCATCGAAACCAAAGGACAGCACGAGGGTGCGCTTGGGGGCGAAGCCGGCGTCGAGGAGCAGCTCGACGGACTCGAGGATGCCGATGAGGGAGTTCTTGCAGTCCATGGCGCCGCGGCCCCAGACGTAGGTGCCGTCGTAGGCGCCGCTGAACGGCGGGTGTGTCCAGCTGTCGATGGTCGTGGGCGCGACGGGGACGGTGTCCTGGTGAGCCATGAGCACGGTAGGCTTCAGGGCGGCGTCTGAACCCTGCCAGGTGTAGAGGAGCCCGTGGGTGTTGACACGCTCGAGCGCGAGGGCGGCGTGGACCTTGGGGAAGGTCTTTTTGAGGTAGTCGGCGAAGGCAAATAGCTTATGCCAGCGGTCGTCGACGCCCACGGGGCCGTAGTTGTCAAAAGACTCGGTGGGGATCTGGACGGCGCCGGCGAGGCGGGCGACGGTCTCGTTACGGAACTTGGGGCTGTCAAGGTACGAGTCCAGCTTCGAGAGGCCGGTCGAGTTTTGGGTCGGGAAGAGGGGATTGACCTGGACACATCCCGCAGCCGCGGCGCCGGGCGAAGAGCCGTGACGGTGGTGACTGTGACCGAGGCCGAAGGAGGACGGCGCGTGGAGGTATGCCAAAACGAGGGCGGCGGGGAGAAGCGACCACCACGCGGTCCGGCGTGCGCGGCGCGGGGCAGGGGGAGCGTACTCCGGCGCCGGGTGGGCGAGGGGGAGTTTCTCGGACATGGTGTGCCAATAACAAGCAACGTGTGGTAGGGATTGTCTCAATCGAGGGCAACGGATGTTGTGGAATGAGACTGGAGAGAAGGGGAAGTGAGAAGAAAGAGGATGGAAGACGGAGGACGAAGCGGCGAAGTGGAAGATAAGACGAGGTTTCAGCCATGGTATATGTATGACAAATGGGGTGAGTGAGTTGCGTCTCTGAGTGTGAGCGTGAGTGAGTGAGTGAGTGAGTGAGTGAGTGAGTGAGCGAGTGATCGACTAGCGTGCGTATCATCTCGCAGCTCTCCCAGCTGGCGCCGCTATCGCTCAGCGAAACTCCACTGTAAACGTTGCATAGCTTCCGAATCGGACCTTAGCTTATCGGCGCCGCGGCATTTGCATCATCACCCAGCGGGCTCCCTGGGTTTCATGTCATATCGACCGGGATCATATTCCTCAACGCTCTTCCTCGGCTATCGATGAAGCTGGATGGAGAGGGGGAGGAGCTTTTGCTCGGCTTTTTGACTGATTGCAGGATAGCTTCCATTGGTCGTTTCCACCACTAACATGGAGCTCGGGGAGATGGGAACAAGAATGAAGGGACAGGTTGAGGAAGAACCAAGAGAGCTTCGTATCAAAGTTTGACAAACAACGCTGAATTAATTGAATTAAATAATAACAGACACAATGGAGGTATACAAGACAATATGAGCCCGCCTGCTGTGAACGCCGGATATGCAAATGCCAATGCCATGATTTGAACCCAACCCCCCCCCCCCCCCCCCCCAAAAAAAAAGACCACACAGCCAGCTCTAACCTCTCTTCTTCGACCCGTCCAAACGCGTCCGCACACTTCGCAACAGCGCCCACGCGACGAGCCGGTAGACGATGACGCATCCGGCCAGCGCCGCAATGTTGACTTTGGGGTTCACGTTAAGCTTGTACAGGTTCAGCACGTCTTCGCCCGTCTCGACGGGGCACCGCCCATCCGGCAGCCTCTGCCCATCAGTGCACGTGAATGTCACTGACTCTAGACTGTAGGGCGCCAGCGCCCGCGTCGCGTATCGGATCGGCGACAGGTAGTTGAAGATGTCGAATACCTTGGGCATGTCGATGGACAGGATGCCCGCCATCGTGTTGGCTATCGACATGACGACCGATGTGATGTTGACGGCGAAGCCCGTGTGGCCGAAGAGCGTGTTGAACATGATGCCCACCGACTCGCCGCACGACACGATGCCGAAGCACGAGAAGACGCAGACAAAGTACATGGTGACCGTCCGCGGGAACCCCACCGCCAGGTCCGCCAGCACTCCGAAGATGAGGCAGCTGATGATCTCGAACGGCAGCTCCAGCAGCGAGTACGCCGCCAGGAAGGCCTCGACGCTGTACACGCCGTCGTCGTCCTCGCGGTAGAAGACGTCGCGCTCCGCCGGGTACACGGCCACGTTCTGCAGCATGCCCACGAAGTAGAACGCCCCGACCTCCTGCACGAACCCCATGCGGTTCTGCACCGAGTAGTAGTCGTTCTTGAGCGGCGAGAAGAAGAGCGCGAGGACGATGCCGAGCCCGGCCACCTGCATGACGCGCGCGAGGAGCAGCGGCGGCTGCCGCCGGAAGTTGATGAGCCCGCGGTGGAGGAGGAGCGGGAACGCCGTCATGAAGGACGCCCGCTTGCGGACGAGGGCACCCAGCTCGGCCGGCGTCGCGAGGCTCGTCTTGGCGAAGGACCCGCGCGGCCCTCGGACGACGGCGCGGTCAGCCGAGCCGGAAGCCCTCGTAATCGCATCTTGGGCTTGCTCCGTGGGCTCGGCCTGTTTTTGGACTGTTCCGTCTTCCTCGTTGATGCCGGACAGCCGGCCCGTCTTCTCGTCCGTCTTTTCTCCCGGCGCCGCCTCGGCTTCTCTCCGCCACGCCTCCACCAGCTTCCTGACCTTTTCGCGGCTCTCGGCCTCCCTCGCCTCGTGCTGCAGGTCGATCGTGATGAGGTCGAGCGCAAAGTCGGCCGGGTTGCTGTGCGTGGGGCATTCGAACCCCTGGCGCAGAAAGTAGGCCAGCATGTCCTTGGAGGGGCCGGCGTACGCGGGGGAGCCGCCGCGTGCGAGGAGCAGGACGTTGCCAAAATGGCCGAACAGGTCGGAGCGGGCCTGGTGGATCGTGAGGATGAGGGTGCGTCCCTCGTTGGCGAGGCCCTGCAGCACCTCCATGATGGAGTTCGCCGTGAACGCGTCCAGGCCACTGGTCGGCTCGTCGAGGAGCAGCACACGGGGGTCGCTGAGGAGCTGCACGGCAATTGTGACTCGTCGCTTCTCGCCCCCCGAGATGCCCTTGACGAGCTCGTTCCCGACCAGGTTGTCCGCGCAGTCCTTGAGTCCCATCTTGAGCAGCACCTCCTCTGCTCGTCGAGCCTTCTCCTCCTTGCCCATATGCGACGGAAGCCGCAGTCCGGCAGAGAACAGGAGTGTCTCACGCACCGTCAGGGACGGCAGAAGCGCTTCGTCGTCTTGGCAGACGTACGAGCACACCGAGCGGACGACCGAGTTGGACGGCAAGGCACCGTTGAACGTAAGGCTCCCAGAAGGGAGATAGCGCGTGCTGATGCTGTTATGAAGCCGCAGAGCCATAGCGTTCAGAAGGGACGTCTTGCCGCTGCCGGAAGGCCCCATGATGATGTTCAGCTTGCCAGCATGGAAAGTGGCGTCGATGGGGTTGAGGATCGTCTTTGTTGGTAGCTTCTTCCCCGAAGGCGCCCTCTTGTCCAGGGCCAGCGCAAAGCCGTCCAGCCCCACGTTGATGGTACGGACCTCGGAGATGGACCGCGCCGTCATCTTCTCCTTCCCGGCCGACAGATCGGTGTCCGAGTTCCTCGCGCGCGCGATCGTCATTTCCTGCCGGATGTACTGGAGTCCGACGGCCGACAAGACGCAGAAGAACACGATAAAGGCTACCATGACGACGATGGGCCTCCAGACCCAGTTGCTCGGGAAGCCGAGGGAGTCCATGATGAAACGGCCGGTGTACTGTACGCATTCCGGGTTCGAGATGCCGCCTTCGGCCGGGCAGTCGTAGAAGCTCCCTTCAAACTCATTACCGCAATAGGCACCAAACGAGTAAAACTGCGCAATGTCAGAAGGTGAGGAGGACGGGAGTCAGGGGTAATTGCAGCAGCAGAAACTCACCGAATACGTGATCCACTTGAGCCAGCGCACGTAGACGGGGATCGAGTTGGCTTGGATGAACATGCCGCAGGCCATGCTCTGCAGGGTGAAGACCATGTTCGCAATCAGACTGGCGCCCGGGAAATTCCTCGACGCGGCCACGCAGGTGATGGCGCATGTGACGGCGATGTAGTGAGTGAGCAGGGTGATGACGAAGAAGACGAAGAACCGGCCGGCGTCTGGTTCGAAGCCACACAGAAAATAGTATATGACGGAGAACAGGAAGGGGACGGGCAGGTCTTCGGTCAAGAGGCGGGCCAGCCGGCGGGAGACAAGGAACGGCACTGCGTCGACGCTAGACTCGCTGTGTTCCCGGTCGAACGTCGGTATGTCGACGGTGAGCCGGTAGACCTCGAACATGAGCATGAGGTATCCCTGGAGACCCGTGGCGGTGTAGACGGCGCCCTCGCGAGAGCGGATGCCGGAGAGATCCCTAGGCAGGTCAAAGAAGATATATCCGGTGACGGCAGCCATGAGGACCGCTTCCAAGATGGACGCCAGCATGCCCATCGGATCGCGATACGTGACCTTGAACGTTCTGTGGGTCAAGACTTTGATTTGCCGCCCATACGTGGCGTGCTTGTTGGTCCGAGACCTGGAGCCCGGCCGTCGTCCCGCGGCCTGGACGGCCTTCTCCGAAGGCTCGAACCTCTTCTCGCTCTCGCTGACCCACGCGTTTTTGAGCCGGTCGACCCGCGCCGTTGTCTCGGCCTCGAGCTCGGGCGTGCGGTTGTCTATGGCAGCGATGTCGATGAGGAACTCGGCCGGGTTGACAAAGGGCGGCAGCTTGAAGCCCATATGGTCGAACCACGGCAGGCACTCGCCGGCGGGGCCCGAGTATACGGGGCTTCCCTTGGTCAGGATGATGAGGTTGTCGAACAGATCCCAAATCTCGGACCGCGGCTGGTGGATGGTCGTGATGATGGTCCTGCCCTTGGTCGCCAACCTCTTCAGCGTGCGCACGAGCTGGAACGCGCTCGTTGCGTCCAGGCCGGTGGTCGGTTCGTCGAGGAAAAGGACCGAGGGGTTCGCCAGCATCTGGACGCCGATGCTGACCCTCCTCTTCTCGCCTCCGGAGCACCCCCTGTGCTGGCTGTTTCCTATCCTTGTATCGGCGCATTCCTTGAGTCCCAGTTCGAGGATGACCTCCTCCACGATACGCATCCGCTCCTCGGCCGTCGTGGGTGGCGGCAGTCGCAGGTCGGCGGAATATCGCAGCGTCTCCCGCACCGTCAGGGTGGGGAGGAGGACGTCTTGTTGCATGACATAGGCGTGCCGAGCGCTGTGAATCCCCTCTTCGCCGTTGAAGGTGATGGAGCCGCCCTGGGCCAGGCGTGCGCTTACCATGCGTTCCGACACGATATTCAGCAGCGTCGTCTTTCCGGACCCGCTGCCGCCGATGATGGCCGTCAGGGTCCCGGGGTGCAGGGAAGCGTTGACATGGTGCAACAGAGTTTTGGAGCTCGGTCTAGGGTTGAACCTTGCCCGTGCCAGGTCTGGGTAGGTTGCAGGGTCGAACCATGACGGCGAGGTGTCAACGGTGACGGCCAAGCCGCGGATCTGGACATCAACGGCCTCGACGTCGTCGAGCGAGATGTGACCGGCGCTGGAAAGCGAGAAGCGACTCGGATCGGCTGGTTCGTTCGGCGCTGCCGGGTCCATTGCCGTTTCGACAGAGCTGGCGCCCTCGATTTTGTCCACGTCGGTGACGGTGGATTGGTCATCGGCGGGCGGTTGCGGTTGCGGTTGCGGTTGTGATTGCTGTTGAGGCGTGCTCTTGGACGAGCCGAGGTCGGCATTGTCGTCGCCTGGTTGAGACATGACGGGCATATGCGTTGACCGACGTGCTGGACTCTCTACCTCTGTTTTATGGCTGCAAAGCTTGCATGCTAATCGATGGGGAAGGCTTGGCTAACAAAGGATAGATGATAGCCACCTAGTGAGGGCTTGCGGAGATAGTTTTGTCGAGCGGTGGGTATTCGCAGCCTCTTGGACAAGACACTATGTGTCGTACGCGACAAGGATGTGCGATCTTATCAGAGACCGAAGAGGCCCGAGGAGGGAAGAAACAAATAGCCTCTGTTGGCGGGGATCGGGTAACACGAATCGGGGCAGATCTTGCAGTTGTGTGTTGCGGGAGAGGCGTTGAGACGGCGGGCGATCATATGGGTATAGTACGTGCCGTTGACACGGGAATCGCGATGTGTGTGCGACGCTCGTCGCCTGTCCGTCCTGGCGAGAAGGACGTGAAGAAAGATGCGGCAGCGTCAGATAGACGGCGAGGGAAACCGAGACAGTACACCAAGACGATCATGTAGCAGAGATGAGACGATATGGTCAACTCGCGGGCATGCATGCGGCGCTCCTTACTACGGTTGGAACGACACCTAGAGAGTGAAGAAAGAAGGGGGAAAAAGAAAGGGCTCGAGTATTATGTTGCAAGCGACGATGCCCGCCATGGTGGAAATCAAACACACGGGTAGCAACCGAGATGCAACGCAGTCGAGGAAACGCTCACGGCCCTGGACCCCATGGCCCCCCCACCCGCATCGAGAACGCTCCAGTGCGAAGGGTGTGGTGGTATGTGTTGGTCGTCTGGGATTCCTGTCAGCTCAGTCAGATCAGCTCAGTCAGAGCGAAGCGAGGCTAGGATCACAGATGCAGCTGGCGCGCGTCCACTGCCGCATCCTCTTCTACATGCATGCCCACAAGCAGGTCGCCCCCCCCGCCGCTCAGACTCGGGGTGCAGATTGTAACAAGGACGGACGATGGCGGTGGAAGCGGACGTCTCCCCCCTTGTCTTGTCGGTTATGGTGCGAGGCACCTCCCTACTAGCTGAAGATCTAGACTATAATAAGAGGCCGGGAACGTGGAAATCGTTTAGCTAAGGATGTTGACCAGTTCGGTTGGCAAACGATGGAGGCTAAAACAAGCTAGGCACGGTAGGACTCTATGGTAGTAATTGCTCGCTCACATGGTGGGGACCAGTGGCTGTTTCTTTGTTCTTTCACCACGCGGAAGAGGTGCATTCCATGATGCAAGGATCTGGGGTGGCTGATATAATCAGATTGGAAGTAGTGTAAGCGCGTCATGTGGAGTGAATGGGACAGTTTGGCGGGGGGGATTATCAATTCCTCCAAGCTGCTTACGCCGCTCACTTGCTCGGATGAGGTTAGGCGTGTGGATGAGATGGTGAAATGCAGATGGATCGAGTTCCTCGATGGGAGAGATGCAACGACATGGACAAGTTTGGCAAATGAAGATTCCAGGCTCCTTTTCTTTCCTTTTCCCCCCCTTCTTTCTGCCACATTCCGCTCCAGAACCACTTAGCCAAGCTGAGCATCCGCCACACCGACCAGGCCAATAAGAAAGCGGTTTGGTCCGATGGATGGAGGGAGGGGGGAACCTGATGTAGTGTACCGGTAGGATGGATGGAGGATGGCCGCTTGCGGTAGCCTAGCGCCTCGCCTCGGATTGTCTGTCCTGTTGGGACCGTGGGCGGGATGAACTCGAAAGCTACCGTCATATCATATTTATCATATCATATTTATCCTGGAGGGTGGATGGGGATGTTTGGGGGGGGGAGGGATGGCTGTCTGTCTGTCTGTCTGTCTGTCGGAACCTGGCCGGTATTGGTCGACCGTTACCCGATGGGTCAGGGGTCCCCTATCGGCTGTCCTCGCTTCCGGCAGCTCGCTTACACTAGAGGCAGACTGGCAAGGTAGAGAGTTGAGCGTCGATCTATTTAAACTAAATGGTAACCGTAGTAATGCCGGGACAAACTGACTGGAGGTGGAGGTACGAAAGGTGTGTCCGGGTACAAACAAGTAAACATGTACGGTATGGAACGCGGCCCCGCTGCCGCCAGGGCTCCCTACTGTTTCCCCAAGCGAGCCAAACTCTATAGGCGAGGCTGCTAACCGAACAATACGAGCGAGTGAGCGCGGGAAGCGATCCCTCCCTTGGCCGGAACTCCCGGTAGGTTAGTCATTCTCTAACCGAGCCGAGTCGGTAATCGTCCGGGGTCGCCAATTGTCGTGATCCTGATAAGGGGGGGGGGGGACCCGTGAGCCAGAGCTTGGGGACGTTGCAACTGCTGCGTTGGACTTTGTCAAGCCTGACTCTGCTCTATTGAGTTGAAGAGAGTGAGAAGCGAGCATGTGAAGGTCAGGAACACGGCGAGTTAAGCGAAGGGCTGATGCTACTTTGGGGAGAACGCATACAACCTTGGTTGTGGAGAACTTAAAGTTGATGCCTCATAGATGGCGGGGAGCATGTATGTGATACGGTACTCTTGTAGCTTACGGATGCCACCTCCGTGAAATTGTGGCAGAAAGATCTTTGTCTGGTGTGCTCTCATATGGTCGCGATGCCATCCATGGTAGCTGTCGCTGTGCAGACGCATCTTTTGATGTCTGATGCAACAATGCAGGTTGCTCCCTGCATAACGGGCGGAGCTTATACCTCGCTGTTCTTAAAAGCAAAGCTTAGACTTCATGTCCTCCACCAGGACTGGGGTTCGCCTCTTTAGTCACTTTCCAGAGATCAGGGGGTGTGGTATTTGCTCATTAGCCTTCTTCACCGACCATGAGCATGGCCATCCAAGTCACGAGCATTCTCTTCAACGACGAGCGAGGGTTAACTGATCACCGGAGACGGATCCACCCCATATACTTTCCGTGTTTACTAAACTCTCGACGTTTAAGCTTAAGTACCGAATTCTGCCCAGAACAATATTAATACAAGCTATTATTCTCCCTTTTAGGATTCGATTCAGGATAGGCCGAGTAAGCCCGCGTATTCAAGAATCCAATTAGGCCGCCACCGAGATTCGAAAATCTCCAGAACAGCAATCGTCGATCCATTCCGTCCCATTCTCTCCCCGCAATACATCTTTTGCAGTATATCACTGCCAGCATGCGGTTGTATGTGGATATTGTTCGTAGTCGTCCCACTGAGCTGTCCTGCGCGAAGTCACAATCAATCAAGAACGATTATGGACAGCCAAATATCAGTTCGTTCCCGAACCTAAATGCAATCAGGTCGTCCAGGATGAGCCATGGAGAAGTCTGTCTTGACTTACGGATTCCTTAGAGAGTCCCGTGTCTGCTGGCAAGTACTCCAAAGCGAACCACCTGAGATGGACAGTATCTCGTGGGGAAGATGGTGGCAGGTGAATCGTGAACCAGGTGCAAAGGAACTCGCCTGCGGTCGTGTTAGAGGTTCTGCAACATAGTACCACTGCGATATGTTCTAGAACCAAATGCTAAACTCGATAGGCCTATGTTTACCCCCCAACAATTTGGAGAATTTGTATACTCAGCCGCGTGGTCATACTCGGAATAGTTTTTGTTTCTAGCGACCATACATTTTGGACCGCGAGGCGATTGCGTATGCCTGGAGCAGCTCACGAAGAGAAGCAATCTCGACTCCATGGGCAGCCACAATAGATCGAGGTTGTCAAGTCGAACAAAACTTATCTCAACTTAAATTCACCACACCCGAGATTATCAACCGTTTACGTCAAAAGTCAGGTTGTCAATGGTGGCCTCCCCCTCCCCCGTTGATAGTCACCCCAATCAAATACAGTCCACAATTCCACGTGAGATGACGATTGAATCTTCCCCTCACCCGCCCGAGACATCTGAGAAAAACACATTCACCTCATCCGTTACCACTACTTTCGCAGTCGTCTTCGAGAATCACAGCGAGTCGAGCTCCATCTTCACAGAAAATGCCGACTTGGAGTCTCCTCCCAGATCCGATGATCTTCCATCGACCGGATCCATACGGGATCTCGACTGTCCTGGCACAAAAGTAGCCCTGGTCGAGGCGCACTGGTAGTCGGATGCATCTCAGTATCCCAGAGGCCGTTGACGTGCAGCAGACCCCGGAACCGCCTTCAACCGCCTCGATGCTACAGAGTTTTCGTTTCAACCCCTTGAGCTTGCGACGACTGCTGGCGACAGCCCGCCTCCTCTGTGCCTCGCCGCACCCCAGGCACCTCGTCGATGCATTTGGGACTCCCAGGTCACCAGGCGCCGCGCGTTTAGGAACAAGATGCCCGTGCCAAGCCGTGTCGTTGAATCTTCATTGATATCATTCATGCGGTCTACCCAGAACGCCCTTCGCCATATTCACGACGCCTGCCTCCCAAGGCATCGCCTACAAGAAAACAGATGCTCCAAACCCTGTCGCCGTCTGCTCCCCCCCCCCCCCCTCCTCCTACCCTCCTTGGCCAATGCTGCTCCCCTCGTTAAGCAACGCGCTTCTCGGTAATGGCCTCGCCGATCGGCCCCTCGCAGACGAAGCCGCCGTTCGCGCCGCCGTACTCGAACACCTTGCGGCCGCGGACCCACGTCTCCCTCACGCGGCCCGCGAACTCGTGCCCCTCCCACGGCGAGACCCGGTTCTTCCACCGCATGTCGCCGGAGCGCAGCGTCCACGCGTCGGCGTCGTCGAAGACGCAGACGTCGGCGTCCATGCCGGCCCTCAGCGCGCCCTTGCGGTGCGCCAGGCCGACCTGCTTCGCCGTCGCCTGGCTGCACAGCCGCACAATGTCGACGATGGACGGCGCCGCGGCCTCGTCGCCCCGTGCGGCGGCGACGCGCGCCCTCGCCGCCGTGTAGACGATCGGCAGGCCCAGCCCGACGGAGGAGATGCCGCCCCAGGCGGCGAAGAAGTCGCCCCGCGAGCTGGCGTCGGCGACGGCCAGCGCCGCGTCCTCGAGCGTCTTCTCGGCAATCATCTTGTCGACGGTCTCGCCGGGGATGGTCACGTCGACGCCAGAGTCCGAGTGGTGCATGTTGGGCGCGTCGGCGTCGGCCGGGGGCGCGGGCTCGAGGTGGCTCGGCAGGAGCTTGAGCTGCGGCGTGCAGGGGGAGTGGTCCGAGACGACGGTCTTGATGCACGAGTCCTCGGCCACGAGCTCCTCCCACAGGCCGTCGCGGTTGGAGCGCTCGCGGATGGGCGGGCAGCACTTGTGGCGGGTGTCCCCGTCGACGATGTCCTCGGAGGCGAAGCCCAGGTAGTGGAAGCACGTCTCGGCGGTGATGTTGATGCCCTTCTTCCGGGCCTCCTTGAGGATGGGGATGGCCTGCGTCGCCGACAGGTGGACGATGTGCAGGTGGAGGTCCGGCGCGAGGTGCGCGAGCGAGAGGATCTCCTCGACGGCGTAGGTCTCGAAGGCCGGAGGACGGGACTCGAGGAAGGTCTGGTAGGAGTTGAGCTCGCCGGTGGGGGCGAGGGGGGGCTCGGACTGTTGGACGGCGTCGCCTACCGAGTCGGCGATGGGGGGAAGCATCTCGGCGTGAAACATGAGCGTCGTGGGCGTGCCGTTGAGCTTCTTCATGGCCAGGGCCACGTCTGGCGAGGAGACGGCGGGGAATTCGTCAACCTGTTGAGATGGGCTGTCAGCAAAACAGATGGAACATTTCCTCGGCAGGAGGCTTGTTGGATGTGTGCTTGCGGCTTACACCCGACTCGATGAGGAAGCCCTTGAAGCCTCGCACGCCGGCCTCGACGAGAGGCAACAAGTCATCGGCGTTTCCGGGGATCACTCCGCCGTAGAAACCAACGTCGACCCAGCACTGACCCTGGCTCGCCGCGAGCTTCTCCTTGAAGCCGGCCACCGTCGTGGTGGGCGGGATGGCGTTGAGTGGCATGTCGACGACGGTCGTGACGCCGCCAGAGGCAGCGGCCCGCGTTCCGGTCCAGAAGCCTTCCCATTCCGTGCGCCCGGGCTCGTTGAGGTGGACGTGGGCGTCGACTAGGCCGGGCAGCAGGAGCTTTGCGCCATAGTCAATGTAGACGGCCGAGGCAGGGAAGGACGTCTTGGGGAGGACGGCGGGGGTGACGCTAACGATCTTGCCGGTGGCGGGGGATATCGTTATCGTGGCAGGGGTGAGAACCAGCTCGTCTTCGGCAATGGTGAGGACTGCTCGCGTCGAGACGAGGACAACGAGAGGAGTCGTGGTGTCTTGGGTGGCGGCCATGATGGAGAAGAGAACTGCTGGGAGGGTTCACGATAAGCTCGTTTTGGAGCTTGGAGAGGTCCGATAAGGAAAAGGCGGCAGATTCTGAATAGCTTTCCCCGCGGAGCACGTTCTTTGAGAGCTTGTTGCTTCTACTGGGGAAGGGGGAGGCTTATCTTGATCGTAGTGGCGTGGAGGGGTGGTGAGGTAGATAAGGGATGGGTGACGGGGTTTGAGATAATGAGATGCAAGCGAGCCCAGATGGTGAGGCAAGTGGGCTTGGGTATTGCAACGCGGCGACTGTGAGCAAAAGGCAGAGGAACTTCTTGGAGGCTACGGAGACTCTTGGCTAGAGAGCAGACAGGACGGCGAAGGGAGAAGAAGGGAAGAAGAGCAAGAAGGAAGAGCAGGGCCGCCGTCCGGATCGCACTCGACAAGAAAGTCTCCCGTGGCTCGATCCACAAGTTCAGACGGACGCAGCTGGACAGTTGAGTCGGGCCCTTGACCCAGCAGGCATTCCCTTCCGCGCATGCTTCTGAGCTTCCATTTGCAGACCTTCCAGGCCCCCGATAAGATAAACAATGCGCATATCTGACAGGACAAAGAACAAAGTGACGGGTTCAGGACCAGCCTGACAAGACAAAGGGGGGGGGCACAAGGAATCAGCCAGCCGAGACCCTCTGCGTCTACGCCGCTAAGTCTTGCTTCATCCCCATCGCTCATCGACTGGTCAGTGACTATCGCCCAACTCACTCAACCCACTTGCCCACCAGTCAATCAGTCAGTCCGAGCTGCATACTCCCGGCTATTACACTACTTACTGGTTGCTGGTGTTGTGTGGGGTGCGTTATCGAACATTCTCCTCCGACGGGGGATCCTCCCTTTCAGCCTATCGAGACCGAGGGCGGCCCGGGAGACCGTGGACGGACCCTGAAGGTGCTCCAGGTCGTTATCAGACGATGCTGATTGGCCAGCGAATCGTCGGATGTGGCCGATCGGGAAGATGTTAGTCATCCGAGGGCGAAGGAGGGAAAAAGGAAAAGGCACGTGTCAGTGACTGGGAGAGAGTCGTGGCCTTCACCGGCCGTTGCCGGAACAGACAGCACAGAGTAGTGTAGGGTATCCCAGATGCGTGTGTCCATCGGCTTATTTCGGTCTGGCTCCGCTGATGTTGGCGCAGCAAGAGGCGTCGTCTACGTAGTAAGCTTCACCTAGGAGTTTCGATCGAGTAATAATCGAGTAAAAAGACCGCTACTTCTGCGTGGCCTGGCCCGCCATTTTCATGCAACCCCCGTCGCGGGGTTTAGTCTTTATTACTTAGCCCCCCTTGGTGCAGAATCTTCTCCCGGTGACTGCAGTAAATGGAAGGCCGGGGTTTGCTTTGGTTTGTTTAGATCCTGGCCGCCGCCTCGCTGACCTGCCGAGTCCAACTCCATGCCCGCCATCGATCCATTTTCGGGATATGAGGGGGCGTGATGAAAAGCCTCATGGACCAGCCAATGTCCATGTAATGCAGTGTGTGGTGTATGTAGTATACACCGACTCTGCTGTTTTGTGTCCCGTTCCGTTTACTGCCCTGTTTCGAATTGCTGGAAACTCAGGACTTCGATCAAGCTTCGCTGATCCCTGAGTGATCCCTGCGCCTCGTGCCGTTTGCTGCTGTCAACGCTGCAGGTCCGACAACGGAACAACGTAATAGAATCATCATCTCAATGGAGCTGGCCGCCGCAGCGCTCGCTCGTTCTTTGACATGTCCGCATGGCCGTGTTTTGATCGAGTAAGAGATTTCCCCGTCTCTCCAATCAGACAGACATGCAGGTCCGCTGTGCCAACATCAACGTGCCTTGGTGAGTTGCCGGGATGCCCGGACGCAAAAAGTCGATGGACAGTTAATCTTGGGAATCTGGCTCCTCGCCCAATATCTGTGCCTCCCGCACCGAACCCGAGTCTGGAAGGACCATTGTCAAAAGGTAAAAGAGAGAAGAAGAAAAAGAAAGGAAGAGAGAAGAAAAGGAAGTTGTGTGGTGTTGAGCTGAAGGTTTGCATCACCTCTACCTCGGTTGTGACCCCATGCATCGTCTCTTCCCCCCCCAACCGCCGTCTAGATGTATAATAATATCGTTACATGTACCCTGTAAGGAGCCCAAGATGGTCTGTTATACAGTGTCGAACGCACATACCATAATGCGTGCGTTCCAGGTTTCTTCGTTTTGTACAGGTGTGGTAATGGTAGTGACCGGTCCTTGCCGCCGCCCCCTGCTCAGTCGATTGTTCACTTTGTCCTCTTCAAAGCCTTGACGGCCATCTCAACGAGACCGTCCTTGGCCTCGCTGTCGGGGAACCCGCTGATGGCTGCGATGGCCCGCTCCGAATAGTCCTCAGCCAATGCCCTCGTCTGCTCGATGCCGTCGCTCTGGAGAACCAACTGGCGTGCCTGGAACCCGTGTTAGTCATAACCTTCTTTTCCACAGGAAAAAGTCTGCGGATGACATTGCATGCACTGCACACTCACCCTTGCAACGTCGCCCTCCTGTTCAAACTTCCTGCCGACTAGGGCGCCCAACTCGGGCAT